TGGTGTTTAGACATTGAATGGGAGGAAGAGAATGAGTACATATTACTGTGTTCTTTGTGTTCCCCCAGCACTGCGTCCAGCTGATGACGGCGACAGTAGAAAGGTTTCAAAGTCAATTGTTCCAGCAGTACATACCATGAATGAAGATGTCTGAGCTCCAGCATATCACCTACCATTGCCCAAACACATTCTAGCATAGCAAACCAAACCCCGCTAGGTTTTCTTCACGCTCCGGTTCTCATATCTACGTCCCAGCGAATACGTGCCCCGACTTCAACACATAAGTTTCCTCGGCAATACACGCCTTTCGACATACCTTGCAGAAATAATACACCTAAAATTACCCGATTCCTACCATGGAGCAAGTCAACGCCATTATGACCGCTCTACCACCCATAGAGTCGCAGTACCCAAAATCTGCGTCCGACGAGAAGGCAAACGCACACAACGCGTCCATTCTCGCTATTAGAGGTCTGCGCACAACAGCCACGGGCCTCGAGCTCTTTAGGCTTGCCGGTATGGCTCTATGTAACCATGAGATCGCCACCACACTACGCCACTCTTCTGGTAGCCACAAAACGGAATACAACGACGACAGCAACTATCTGGGGAAACCAGGTGAGGACGAACTTAAGGATTGGGATGAGGATTTTGTTATCATTGGGGAGATGACCGTAACCACCTTCGAGTCCTTCTACTTCTTCTTCTATGGCTCGCTGCAAATCCGTGAAGTGTTGCAGAGGATTTGCGAGATCCCAGACGGCACATCGGAAGACGGGAAAGGGGGCCCCGTCATTTTGCATGAGCGTGCAGTCATCCACGGTTGGAAAATTAAGCTCTGGGGACTGTTCCCGGCCCTTGTGCCTGCAGCCGTCGACGATACAGAGGGTGTTCAAGGCATGGCATGGCTCTGCGAGAAACCTGAGCACGTTGCAAGACTGTGCACTTACGAGACGGACGCATACCGTATGGCGTATTGTGACATCTCGCTCCCCTCCGCCGGCGGTGGGGTGGAGGTCCTCGAGAATGCCCGCACGTTCGTGTCTACCTTGAGCGATAATGAGCTGGAAGATGGCGAGTTCAGCATCACGGAATGTAAAAGGATGCTGCATTATTGGTGAATTGGGATCGATGTTGGGGAAGGAGATGCCGCAGGCATGAAGCACCTATCGGCTACGCTCATGGCTATCGATACAAGCGCCTGTCTGTAGAGCTTGCGAGTTAAGGGGTAATAGGCTGAAGAGCAAGACGGTTAGTTACTGAGGTACTTGGTTCATCGAGACCTCGAGCATTTGGCTCTAGACATGCCAACTCCCCGAAACGGTAATCTAGACCCAATGGTAAACTGAAATATCACTAAGCAAATAATAAGGGAATCTTATAACAACCTATCACTTAGTAATACCTTGATACTTTCAAAACGTATACGCGGTAGGCTAAATAATCATTTACAAAATCTATTTATGTCGTGCTTTCTTCGCCCTTGAATCCAAGGCTCAGCACTCGCGACCAGGATGATTGCAAGATTAAACAGCAACACCTCTAAATCATAGCCAATATATATGGGAGAAGAACCAGTGTAATTGTACCAATTTACCAGATTCCACGCCGTTGATTCTCGGAATGTCTCGACCATTCGAAGGGACGTGGAGGAGGAGTGGGCGTGTCCGAGTAGTAAATCACGTTTTCTTTCCTAGGTGGCTTGGTCATGTTCATCTCATTTTCTTCCCCGGGCAAAATGTCAAAATGCCAAAAGAAAAATCAATTGAAATCGTCCAATCAACGTGCCCCTATATTCTAATCTTGCTCAGCAGAAAAAAAAGGAGAGAGAAGTAGAGAACAGAAAGAGAAAATAAATATGCATGTACACCCAGTCAACCCACGATGCCCCATTGCGCCAGCAAGAACCATTCCTTCGTCTAAGTCTATTGTTATATATTCCCCTCGCAGTGTGTTCCCAAGTCGTCTATTCCAATCTACCTTTTCAGTTCCTCTATTCGCTGTCTAATGCCATCCACAAATCCTACATTTTCCGTCTTAGTTCCCCGTGTTTTGCGCTTCCCTACTTTCCATAAGTGTTAGCGGGTGTAAATATAGGTAACCCTGATAAATGGCTTGAGAAGCTCACAAAAAAACGAAATTTCAGGTGATTGTTATATTTGACACATCGCAATAGAACCAGTTGTGCTAATAGCACCGATATTAACTAGCACATGGTGGTTAGAATCACTAAAGAAGACCTGGGAAACAAGACGAGGCAACTCACGACGATGATGTTGTCTGTGGTGGCGGCGATGGTGCCGGTGCTGGTGAAGACTCGCTCTTGACAGTTGTAGACCCAGACGTAGAGCCTCCTTGGCCTTGAGTACCGCCACCATTGACGGCGACCGATACCGCTGCTAGAATCACAACCATTGTCGGAATTTATATGCACTTTTCGAAAGGTTTCTCGGCTCGGCAAGGAAGGCGAACAAACACTAGAGGGTAAAAATCGAGATGATGATGATTATGGTGATGATGAGATTTGATGATGGCTTCTGCAATGCAAAGACGAGGCCTCTGGGTTCGCCGCATTCCTTATATACACGATTGCCATCCAGATCTGTGCTCTGGTGGCTCTATGGATACGTAGCTAATAATGATGCCAAAATTGGGCTCTGATGGTCGTACGGCCAGGTCGATTGGGAACGACTACGAAGCCTCAAGATCCTACTTGGTGGTAAATTTCCCTAAGCGGCATTACGATGTCTTTGTGCATCGATCCCCCACCGACGTCACAGTTAGTAGTCTTGGCCATTTATTTTCCCATCATCCTTAGTCATTTCATATTGGGAATTATTCAAGTGACTCGATGATTGCGGCGGAGACTGGGTGCTATACGGCACAGTTCCCCCTACTTGCACGCCTATGACTAGCAAGACTCACATGTCGGCGAATGAAACTCTATTTCCGACCTTACAGAATTCCGTACCGTACATACAGACGGACCGATCAGGCACGTTTTGCCATCACCCAAGGCTGATTTCCGTATCACGCCGCGGTTGGATGATCCGGGCGTCGTCCCGATGGCTGAGCAGGACGATGCTAAACTGTTTGGGGGCAAACGCCAAGGATGAGCTATGTACGGCGCTGACATAAACTCCCTATCCTTGGACGTTTTCTTTCCTTTCTAGGACCGTTTACCTGTTTGAGCCAATCGATGTACCTAGGTATGTCTAATCTACATGTCGATATGTGTGGTCCTTTTTTTCAGCTCCTCCTCGACGCCTCTACACTAAGATGCCTACAGTACAGCCCTAAAATGCCTTGGCGCGGGATGGCAGAGGCAGGTTCGTTATATATATACATATACATGGAATCAAATTGAAAATTTCAACGTTCTAGAAGCCTTTTCATACGGCGTATTAAACTCCGGTTCCGACTTATATATCAGTGTGCTGCGGCGTCGGTTTCGGGGTCATAACGTGGCATCCTTCCGCCGCACTACTCCGCAACCCTGTCGAAATCTCATTGGGCAATTGACTCGCGAATATGGCCTGTCAATAAACTTTATCTCAACGACTAGAGGTAGGCGGTGCTTGATACCTAGTTAAAAATACATAGTTCATATTCTCCGGAGGCGCAAGAGTACAGCCCGGCGTGTGAAGAGCAGTACTTGCTTATCCTACATATTTGATCGATGCCGCCTATTCTATAATTGTTTGTGGTAGCTAAGTGCCAACCGATCGGTCAGACGATGAGTCACGATGCCAGAAGACATGTATACACGATGAAGAGTGATATTAACCGAGGTAGATGAATTTACACGTGACGGTTATACAGAAGTGTTTGTGTGGAAATGGAGTCACTCTGCGGAATGGCCGGTATTGATTCATTCGGAACTTCGCATTGCGGGGCTTAGCTAATAGACTCGTGGTTTGGGCATACTGTATGACCCCGAATTATCCCACCTGTTAAGATATAAGATACGGCCGCCATTGGCGGGGATATGAGAGAAGCTGAATATGAGGTTATCTGCAGTACGCCTGTAACTCTCACTCGATCTTTGGGACCAGTATTTACAGTGACGGCTGGGAAAATAGACCTTAGAAATCGGGATACTATAATATGCTTGAGTACTGCCGCTACCTAAAAGGAGGCTGGACCTAGTGAAGCTATCTCCGCAAGCGATCCGAGAACTTTGTTCAGTGAATATAAGCGACTGAGGCTGAAACATCCCGTAAAACATAGTATGGTATATCGTTAATCTCGTGTACTTGGACCGCAAGTTTCAGGTTGACTGGCGGGTTGTGGGCATGTGATACTGCCTTTGCGATGCAGTCATACTAAGGCTAGCATTTTGTGCTTCCGCATGCTTGAGTTTTCTATCCTATTACTCTCTCGATCTGTCACGTACGGCCATACCCTCCGGAGAACTCGGGGTCCCGTCTGCTCCCCCATGGATAAGCCGGAGAGGGCTAAATTAGTAGTTGGGTCGGTGACGACAAGCGAATCCTTGGTGTTGTACGTTCTATTTTGTTTTGATTATCTTTTTCTTTTTTTTTTTTCCTACCCTGGCAAGTTGCGTGTGGCGCCTAATTTAGATATTCCCCTAGATTTGGGCTTTTCTTACATTGCTATGGTCACGGCTCAATGCATTGCCCATTGACTCCATTGTAGTGTGAAAGCTAGTGATGCTAGATTCGTTTGTTTGCCTACTATCCGGCACGGGCTATACACCAATTCCTTCATTCCTATTCGTATTCTGTTATAGTATTTTTAGTAAGTACCTGAAGATCGGGATACTCGGAAAATCTTGCTTAAGAGGGGCTACTACCTATTCAAGAATCTTGACAGAGATAAGTACAAGGAGGAATAGAAGAAGGAAGAGGGAAAAATAGAAAATATTGGATGACAAAGGGAAAAGGAAAGTAAAGAGTAAAATACAAATAAAAGAATAAAAAAGAATAATAAAAATTATGGTTGCTGCTCCCAGTTAACTTGGGAGGCATCAGGAATTGAGCCCGATGCGGGGGTCGAACCTAGACACACAGGATTAGTATCGTTGTGGTGGCCATGGTGGTTTATCATTGCTACTCACCCGCAACCTTGAGATTAAGAGTCTCACGCTCTACCGATTGAGCTAACCGGGCGAATTGAAATGTTAGTTGTGCAATCCCGGATCTTGTGTTGACTCGAGGATTTGGGGTGGGGAAGTCCACAGGTCTTGGTATGTACTGTAGGAGGTATGTTAGGTACTGAAGTAACCTACCTACTAGTAGGTATGTAAATCTCCATTCTACCGATATGTATGCTTAGGAAAGATATATATGCATCGTGGCACATTTCAAAGCAGAGTTGAGCCTCTTTTTATTTTGCTAAAAATAAAATAGGGCATGTAACACAAATAATAAAGATGAATCTTTCCTTTAGATAGGTACGTGCTTATTGTCTCGATGGGTAGTGTACCTAGGTCAGGTTCTGGTCAGGTACTCGATGAAGCAGATTAAGTAAGGTCTGCCCGTGAGCTCTGTCAGTATCGATAAGTGAGTACTTAACCTTATGTACCTACTTCTCTACTACGAGGTATACATATATAACAAAGGTACGTATTAAAAGTATTAATTGGGTACCTACTTAAGACCTACCTACAGGGTCGCAGTGGAGTCACTGATGGAGGGGCATGCCTGCAGCCTCTACATGCCAAAACACCCCGCAACTGCAGCAACAACTACAGTTAGACCTAATCAAGGCTAGAATATGCCAGAATAAGTCACATTACATATTTCCGTAGTTTCGCATACACTAGAGAGTACACCGGCTCGTAAAACCTGTTGACGCTACTAATGCTTTCTTTCTCTGTATAATTTCTTTTCCCACGACTCTCTAGCATACGCCAAAATGCCTGTAGATTATAGCAAGTGGGTAAGTGCCTGAGGAAGGTCGATGACTGCTCTGTGACTACCAGCCGGCCCTTGGAACAGCGACGGCTAAACGCTAACCACAATGCTTCCTCTCTTCGTAGGATAACCTAGAGCTCAGCGATGACTCTGATATCGAGGTCCATCCGAATGTCGATAAACGATCCTTCATCCGCGCCAAGCAGAACCAAATCCATGCCGAGCGCCAGCAGCGCCGACTCCAGATCGAGACCTACAAGTATGAACGCATAATCAATGATGGCTTAATAAAGCGTATATCTGGGCTCCTAGCTGCCCTCAGAGCCAATGCTATCGAAGCCGAATCTAACCAAGCCGAGGTGGCTTTTCGAGCCGTCATGGAGTCTGCCGGCAGCCCCGAGGACGACAGACTACCTGTGGCCCCCGAAGGTGTCCGCACCGACGTTGGCGAGTCGCCTACCTATACCAAGCTGATGGCGGCATTGCTAGACCAGGTGAACGGGACGCTCAACGAGAAGAACCCGGAGAATCGTTTTACTGCTATGGTTGAGGAGATAGAGAATCACTTGAACAAGGTACAAGATCTACAGAGGCAGCTTTTGGCAAACCTGGCAGATTTAGAGAAAGAGGAAAGCCGTAAGATCACAAGTGAGAGCATCCACACGGGGTTTGACAGCTCCTACGTGGCAAAGTCTACACCTTCTACATCAGGGGAGAAGAAGGACGACAGCAAAGTCGAACTTTTGAACCCCAACTTCTCTGTGAGTAAATCCGAGGAAGCGAGAGTGACTGACGACGACGACGACGACGAGATTGAGGCTTCTCCCGATGCACAGAAGTTTGCAGATATCAAGGCTAGCGAGTATCGGGAAAGCCATGCCTTCGTCTCTTCACATCCCAATATTCTGTCTGAGAAGGAGACTGATGGCATCCTCGTCATGGCCTTTGACGCACTGTTACAGAACAATGACGATATCGCGCGAAACTACATCCATCAAGCTTTATTACTTCAGTACTGCCGCTCGCTCGGCAAGGATGGTGTTGCGCTCTTCTTCAAGCGCATTACTACAAAGGGCCACCAAGCCCAAGAGGTATTCTACAAAGATGTACAAGACACGTACTTCCGCATTAAAAGCCGGGCGGTAGAGATCAACGCACAACGGGCCGCGGAAGGTGGGTCTGGCGATATAGAGCAGATTCAGCTGCATGCAGTTGAACCAGGTACCGAAATCAAGATTCAGATCCCGGCTGAGAATAGCCAAGACGAAGCTGAGATGCGTGGGCGCGAGATCTTCGAGGGCTTCGCGCCGGACATGCGAAAGGCACTGGAATCTGGTAGCCTGGATAAGGTGAACGAGGTTCTTGGTAGAATGAAAGTCCCCGAAGCCGAGGAGGTTGTGAATCTCCTGAGTGAGGTAAGGCGTATACTATGATGTTACTAATTAGCCCGTTCATACACTGACTATCTTATAGGCTGGTATTCTTAGCATGGAAGAGCAGATAATAGACGCAACGACTGAGGAAGGAAAAAAGAAGATCAAGGAGATGGAGGAAAGGGCTGCAATGGAGTCGTATGCAGACGATCCCGAGTAAAAGTGGAACCCCATAGCATTGTGTGTGGTCAGGAATACCCCGAAACATGATTTCAGCTGCGTTGACCGAGTGTTGTTGTGCGCTTGCGATTACATAGTAGTCGTGTGGTTTAGTGTGCACTATCTGGTTTCTGTGAGCGAGGTTGGTATCCTTGTTAAGGGGCTGAAGGTGGTGTGGCTGTACCTGCTATAGCTGTCCCGAGGAGATCTAAGCTGGAAAGATGTCCTATTAGCCCAATAATGGCGCTGTAGCCGCACTGGTCCAGTGGGGATGGTCTCGTATTCCCCTTCAAGACGTGATTTTGTTGTCGAATGCTAAGGCTGGGCAGCTGGCCTCGCCTTAGCACGGTTAAGCGTACCTTGGGTGAGTAGCGAATGATTCATCCGCTGTATACAATATAGTGTGATCTCAACGCGTGTTTTCAAGATCTACTTGATGCACGCCTAGGATACGGCACTTTGCTATGTAAGATACAAACATACAAACATTATTTGGTCTGGAAAAAATCAATACTATAATTGCTAGTGTACAGTACAGTAGGGTTAATATGTGTACAGACCAACGCTAAAGACCCCTGGATCTGCTTGAAAGGACGGAACGCGCGTTTACATGGTTTCATGTTTGCTAAGGCTGACGTGGAGAGGCGCAGTCGCCAGCTCTAAACAGGCCAGAGTCCTGGTATTGATTCCGGGGACACTGTCCGGGATAGGCTCCGCAAAGTACAGCACTGATCTATTGCACTGTGTAGTAGCTATTAACCTTAGCTGGGCTACGTACTGGTTAGAAACTGGTCTAGGCACGGAGAAACCACTCACTACCTGAATACTAGTGTAGACGCGCAGAAGACGTGCTAGCTACCTAAGCAAGCACAGTTTAATATGCACTGTTTCGCAGATCGCTATTCGCAATCGTTCCCAGGGTTCTGGCAGGGGTAGGTAGATCGTCGTCCTGACGTCTCACGCATCAACACGACGACGACGACTGGTGTTTTGGGTGTGGCGGATCGACATTACGTACCTGGTGTCCGTACAAGCTCTAACACTTACCGTACATACTATGTAGTAGACTAACTAGCTTAGTTACTTCAACCTCCTTTGAACCTACTATAGTTATAATGGGTATGGCACTCGCTGTGGGATGCAAAGTCAACTTCACCCTCGCTCTTCTCGTGTAGTTATTCCGTCTCTTTCTTCCTTCATTTTTTTTTCTTCTACACTACAGGAAGTAATCCGTCGCTATACAAGGGTAATTGCAGTACTCTCGTTTCATATCTTCTTAGTCGAGATGATCCTATCATTACGCAAACACGTAGGAATTCTGGCGGCTCTGGCGAGTACTGCCTATTCTTCGCCGCAGGGGCCACAAGGGCTGCAAGGCAGCAGTGTCTTGTCCACATCCACAACCGTAACGCCTCTCGCTACGGCACAAGCTGCATCGACAAGCTCAACATCAACTTCGGCGGCATCAACATCAACGGTGGCTTGCAATAATTCCCCTGATCTTTGTAGCCGCTCTTACAGCAATATTACTCATATGGGCGCGCACGACTCGTCTTTCCTCCGCGATGCTAGCACCCAGAATTCGATAGCCGGTAATCAGTACTACAATGCAACCGTTGCTTTAGACGCCGGTATACGACTACTGCAGGTGCAAGTTCACGATCTCAACGGAACCATCAAGCTGTGCCACACGTATTGTAGCCTGCTCGATGCTGGCTCCCTGCAAGACTGGCTTGTAGAAATCAAATACTGGATGGACACGAACCCGAACGATGTGGTGACACTCTTGATTGTCAACTCAGATGGCAAGGACGTTGAGGAATTTGGATCCGTTTTTGAGGCTTCTGGAATCTCCGAGTACGGATACACCCCATCAGGCAATGGCTGGCCTACTCTACAGTCGATGATCAATGCCAAGACTCGCCTCGTGACATTCATCGCATCCATCTCAACCAATAGTACCTATTCCTATCTGCTCTCCGAGTTCGACTACGTCTTTGAGACGGCGTACGAGGTCACATCGCTATCGGGCTTCAACTGTACATTAGACCGGCCATCCACACAATCTTCAGCAGCTTCCGCGCTCTCCGCAGGCCTCCTACCGTTGATGAACCACTTCGCTTACAACAGTCTAAGCTCCTCCATCATGATCCCGGACGTTGATAATATCGCGACAACAAATAGCCCATCCACGTCAACCACTGGAGCCCTAGGCTTGCATGCCAAAAACTGCCGTTCTGAGTGGGGTTATGTGCCGACCTTTGTGCTAGTAGACTTCTTTGATCAGGGCCCTTCCATCAAAACTGCCGACGTAATGAACGGCATTACTGCCACTGGACGCAAGAACGACACCGAGTCTGACACAGACACTACCACCAACGAGGCCAAACGCGGGCATGGCGCCACTGGTATGGGCCCTGTAGCGCTAGTTGCGTTCTTCGTAGCGGCACTTTTCCTTGCTTAGACGGGTAGGTGAGTCGGAGAAGCAGCCATCCTGAGAACGTGGTATTCCCCGTTTCGAGCCTCGGCAATGCAATTCTGGTTTAGGGAGGGCGGGTTGATTTAATGCTGCATAGCGACGGCGTTCATCCTGAAGGGATCTGTACAAGTACGGATTCATCACCAAGTATTTGACGGCACTTTATAACGTGTCGAAAACAT